TTTACTTGCATCGAGACTAACCATTTTCTCCTCTTCTTGCATGAGGCTAAGCATTGCCTCCTCCATTGCATTAGGCTAAGCACTGCATTTCCTTGCATCGAGACTAAGCATTGTCTCCTCTTCTTGCATGAGGCTAAGCGTTGCCTCCTCAATTGCATTAGGCTAACCACTGCCTTTCCTTGGATCGAGACTAAGCACTATCTCCTAATTGCATGAGACTAAGCATTGTCTCACTTTATTGCATGAGGCTAAGCCCTGCCTCCTCAACTACATAAGCCTAAGCTCTGCCTTTCCTTGCCTAATACCGAATGCTATGCTACTTGAAATCTAGCACTATCTTATACAAGGCTAAGCTTTGTCTTGTTTCGCTTCTTATACGACCCATCATCATGTCTTTGCAGCTCATGGGCTGAAACATCGCCATCTCGTCCAAAGGCGCCATAGTCCGAAGGCATCATCCTCATAGCCTGAAGACACCATGTCATGTCCTGAGGATCTCTCAATATTGCACATCATTATTCAAAGGCGTCATAGATCAGAGGCATCATTTTCATGGCCCGAGAACATGATTTCATGGCCTGCGAATCCCTATCTCACGATTCATGGCCCAGGACGTCATGGTCCAAAAACATCATCCTCACCGTCCAAAGACAACCTTCATGGTCCAATGGTAATTTGCATCACGTTTAAATTCTTGCAATAACCCATATATATTTGCATGCATCGTGTTTTAAGTTTTGCAGGTAATTCAGGAAGTAACCGTTCTTCGAGTGGGAGCAATCTTTGCTCCGGTTTCCGTCCATAACGTTCATATCTTGCAATAGTTTCAAATGTAACCAACCATCTGTTATCCACTTTTACTCGATAACTGTTCAGATACTTGCCCTGTGATACACCCATAATGTCTCAAATTCTCTCATGAAATTCATCCGATGCTTTCCTACCCCAAAAGAACCCTTTTCCAAAATATATAACCATTCCTATAACGACTCCATCGGTTTCGTTCACCGTTGGATCCAGAACTACACACGGCCTGATTCCCGTAACACCAGGATATGTAGGCAACTCATAAACCGGAGTTCGGCCTCTAGTTTTAAAAGCATCCCATTCGGTCAAAATCGATCATCATTTCTTTACCCGACAACTCTTTCAGCATTCCCGAGTAAAGAGGGGCAGCTGTTGTTACCCAATTTTGCCCTCATATTTTTTCAAAATGTATGTATACTTTCAAAATATAATTTGTGCATCATTATCTAGTTTACAAATCAATACAAGCATTTTCTATAATTTTCCATAATTTTTAGAGCTTTTAAATTGATTTTCCTACATTTAAATTACTGAATAATTATTACTTATTCCTTCAAATTATTTTTGGGAAGACTAAATTACCTAAAATTATTATTTCCATCTATAATATATGTTTCAAATATTTTTACCTCATTTTTGTAATTACATTAGTATTTTTAGGGCTATTTGCACAATCTTCCAATAATAGCCTGTATTTTACAATTGTATTGCATTTGTCATTTTATTCAGGGTCAAAATCATATCCTACATTTTTATAATCTTCTACTATTATTTTAAAATATTACTTCACATAAAGGTCATTTTTTATAATTTATTTAATTGATTTATTAAACTATTTCCCCCTTAATTTTCTATTTTTAAATCTGGCCCAAAATTAGGATTAATTTCGGACCATTAAGGTCCAAATAAACCCCTGCCCCAACAACCTCACCAGCCCAAACGTTCCAATCCCTAACCTTGTCCAAAAACCGGCCCCAACCTATTTTAATCTCAACCGTTGATCAAAATTGATCAACGGCTCACAACATTTCCCCTATTTCTCTTATAACCCAACCCCTAACCCTAGAGACCCATTTTCTCTGCTCAGCCACCCTCAAACGCTCCTCACCCACCCGAAACCCTAATCGCCGCCCTTTTCAAATCTTCCCCTTATCCCATCAACAATGGGACTCTCCCATTATTTACTTACCATACTGGTGTTCTCCGCTACTGGGTGTTTCTCTATGTTGTTACTTAGTACTTGCTAACATGGCAAGTACTATCTCTCCGATTCTGCTCGTTCA